ATGGCACTCACCATTGAATTAAAGTCCGTTTTTTGTCCCAAAGAGAGATACACAAACGTAACTTTGTTTTAATTATACGGATAATAATGTCTTTGTGATAAGTATTACCTAGAGGAGTCGCAGGTGTTAATTTGCACGTGAATTCGTCAATATTGATGGTAGACTTGCGCAGCATCTACCACACTCTCTCCGCCTTCGCAACCTGTGCTCGTTGTCAAGACAGAGTCAAGGAGATCGGAGGCGGGGTAGGACAAAGGAAGCTGGCATGGTCAGAACCGCCTCGGTTCTGAGTCCATGCCAAAGAGGCCCCATTAAGAAGAAGCAATTGCAGTCTGACTCTCAGTCCACCAGCCGGCCACTCTACACAAACACAGAACACTGGGCCGTCTGCGAGGTTCAAGTTATTCCGTCACTTGGCAACCTTCCAAGCCACGGCTTTTTGCTCACTGTGATAGCTTCAAGCGTGCCAGATCGTTTGTAATGAGGAAAATAAGCTGAATCGTCGACCTCATTCTCTGTTCCCATTCCAAGGCCCCAGCCACTGTCCAAGCCGGTCAGTCGTCTGGTGCTAGCATGCTTTTCCGCATGTTAAAGACGGTTCAGAGGCGGACGAGCTCATTGCTGTGGAGCTAAGCGTTTGAACTAAATATCATCTCAAAGCCACCCCATGCAGCAGGGTGACGAAAATCAAGGACCATTTAATCTCAGGAAGCAGTCTGGGTTAGTGTATTATATCCGCTGCCTGGACTGTTCTGGTTTTTACACAGACCAGACTGGGCGCAGGGTCCGATCGCCCACGCACGAACAGAAGTTGGCTGTGTGACGGCGTGATGAATTATCACGAGTGGCTGACCACAACTTCTAAACGGGTCAAGAGTTCAACTTTACAGCCACCAAGATAATTGCTCACACCGGAGGCAAGACAGACCGAGAATTGCTTGAAGTCTCTGGGCCTCGGTTGAGAATTCGGTCAATTGGCGTGCCGATCCGACAGGGGCCTACAGAACCCTGCGCAGCCACCTCCAAATCCAGGCACTATCGTTGATTGGTTAATACCCTGCTATGACTGTTATCTCCGAGGATGAACCGCTGTCCGAATTCGAAAGCTGGGAAAAAAATCAGCAAATGGTTTCGGACGGTTGAAAGGAGTTTTAGACAGAACATCCTGCTGCTTTCTTTTTTGCTAAAGCCTACTGCAGAGGATGCAGGTGTCTTTTGATGAGTCATTCTGTTAGCCCAGCTCCCGCGTGAAATTAGTAAACTAACTTAATGTCATCTGATGACTTTTAAGTCAGGCTGACTCACCAGTCACGCCTAAAAATAGCCCGCTGCCCTCACCCGCCCGTCCGTCCAACGCAACGAGGGTTATCCTGAATTAGACCGCCCAGGCTAAATATTTCACCGTGTGCAGAAAAGCAGCAGCCTGCCATTAATGCTAAGCCCCGCTAGCTGCATCCAGACGCCGCTGTGAATTTCTCAGAAATTGCAATGAGGACGGAAGTTGAGGAAACCTGAAAATGACGGCACTTTTCTTAGCGAAATGAAGCTAAGTTATGACTGAACAAGGCCTGTTCTGAGGTTCCGAAGGGTTTCCTCCAAGTTCGCGCATTAATTACCTCAAAAATTAAAAAGGCAAGGTGAAACCGGAGTCCATATACCAAAGACACAATGGGAAGGTTGGGGAACTCACTGATGAGCCGAACCCCTCGCAGCTAGGTCATGCAGCGGCACAAGATCGGCGAAACACGGGTGTCTGAGCGTTAGTACAGTAAAATATTACACAATACGCCAGTCTTCAAGGAAAATATCTCGGTAAGGTTTAAGTATATGGGCGAGATATAGAAAAACGATGGAGAGCTGTCTACTACGGTAGGTGGGCTAACTCATAAAATGTCAAACGAGATTCTGAAATGCGTTTTCGTTTGGAAAATATTAATAAAGTAGAAGTGTAGAAATGATCATCGTGTAGCATAATTCTATAATATCTAAGTTACTTCAGGGTGCTGGCTTTTAAAATAACTCCTTTCACGTTGCATGCAAAAACTACTCGGTAAAATGACTACTTAATTAGCATGCATTTTTCTCATCGATTTTCGATGTCCTTGAAAATTCAATTATATTTCCTGAGAACCATGCAAAAATATTCATTCTTTTGCTCATTCAGTATGAAAGTACGTCTTCTTTAATTTTATACTCACGGGAAGTTTATGACTTAGTTTTCAAAAACCGTTCCAATTCCCGAATACTTTTGAGCCTGGACCTGCCGTTAAACTTGAATTCAGGTTTTCAAAACTACAAGCCGTATATTTTCCGCCTACGGAAAAGCATACGTTTTTCTGCCGTAATAGGAGTAGATCGTATGGGGTTTATAAAATTTAGCGGTGGATTTGAACCATATTGTTAATCTTATAAGCCAAACTGACAAATGCAGAGCCATGTCGTTTTATGAACGGCCATTTCATGCTGCTCAAAAAATCTCACAGCTAGAAACTTTTTCAAAACCGAATCATACCCTTCCTTCGCGTATAAAATTGAAAAAGGTCGTCATTTTCTACCGAATGAGCAAAAGAATGAGTATTTGTATGCATGGTTTCCATGAAATACAATTGCATTTTTAAGGGCATCAACAATCAATGAAGAAAATGCATGTCACATACGTAGTAATTTTTTTTATAGAGTATAGTAGTTGCATGCAGCCGGAAAGAAGTTAGTTCGAAAGCAGGTACCCTGAAATAGCTAAAGTATTATATAGTTAGGCTACATCATGGTTAGTTTTACAACTCTACTTTTCGAAACGAAAACGCATTTCGGAATTTCGGTTGACATTTCATGAGTTAGTCCAACTACTCTATGCATTTTCGAAATCTAATTAAACCCTGATGACTGGCTGTTGTATCAAAGAGCGGAGAAACAAAAAGTGGAGATTAACTGACCATGAATTGAGGGATAGCAGGCATATCTGCCTGGCGATAAGTTCAGTTATTCGATGGATAGGCATTCATTCATAATTGAATATCCAGCTGGTTGCACACACTCAGAACAACGATCGTTCTTGCTACCGATCGTCTTCTGTGTTTTTCCGGCATTCCGTCAGTTTACTGTCCGGCGTGCTGCCTCACTCTTAACCCCCCTTTCCACCATTCCTGTATGACACGATCCACAGTACACCGATAGTTAATTGGGGTCCTTCCCCCTACCGTTGTCGAATTTACATCTCTGACCCAATTGTCAAATCAGTCAACCCACTACGCAGCTGTACCAAAAGCCAAAGTCGTGCAGTTAAATATGCTCGTCAATCGGTTTGAACCTAATCGGACAAGGCGCGCTCCACGGTCGTATTGGACAGGGCAGACTACATTCAGAAGGCCAAACGCTTCTTGGAGGATCGTCAGTCCTATGTCGCATACAAATCCAGCCCCATAAAAACGCGGACACGCGAGATCAGTGCGATGCTGTTGGTAAGGGAGAACTCAGGTGCAATATTCCCGATCGACAGACGCGTGACGAGAGCGAAAGAAACGGCCTTGGCCCGATTCTGCGCCCTCCCAAAAGTGCACAAGAAGGACGCCCCTCCCCGGTCCATCGTATCGCAAAGTGGCTATTTCGACGTCTCAAGTTTCTGACCACAATCAGCTCGTCAACGCAATTCTTGGAGGAACCTAAAGGGGTAAGTCTCCTGCCAAACGACGTCTTGGTATCCTTTGATGCCGCGTCCTTTTTTATTTATATTCTGCAAGACCTGGCAGTTGAGACCATCGAAATACTCCTACGAGAGAACTACGGTGAAGCGGAGAATAGTCACGGACACGCCCAAATAATTCACCTCCTGGAATTCTGCCTAAAGTCGTGCCTTACATTCGGTGGAGCAATCTACGAGCAGGTGAAGGACACGCCAATGGGTTCGGCGATTTCAGGATTCATAGTCGAGGCGGTCCTACAACGGCTGGAGTCGCGGATTTTCCGACACCACAGACCGAAATTCTGGACTCGGTATGTAGACGATACCTTCGTCGTCATCGGACGGGATCAGGTGCTGACATCCAAAGAACAACTCAACGCCGTCTTTCCGAACATTTAATTTACGACGGAGGAGGAGGAAAACAACCAGCTGGCCTTCCTGGATGTCCTCGTCTGTCGCAAAGATTGCGGTGGCCTGAAAACTAAAATGATTAGAAACACGATGCAAGTTCTGAATTCCGAAAGCAACGCAGTTGCGTAAGGGCGATATACCGGCGCGTTAAGACGCACTGCAGTGAGTGGAAGACAAGGTTGCTGAATTACAATATCTTCGAGAGGTACTGAGAGCCCATGGCTACCCGCAACTTTGTCAACCAGTGCGTACGAAAACGACACCAGAGACCAAATCCGACCAACCCTAAATTTCGGCAAGCAATTTCGTACATGAGGAACGTCTCGGAAGCCGTCAGCCGCCTTCTCATTCCACTTGTATCAAGAACTAGCCTACGACTCAGTTGTTTGGCAAATGTGGAGGCCCACTAGTTGGTTAAAATTAAATATCCTAAGAGAACGGTCCACATGAACAAAACGAAAAATATACGGCCTGAGAGTAAGGCGATCAGAGGGAAGATTATAATCGTACTAACGTCGTTTTTAACGAATGCTAGTCACGCAGTTTTGTGAGTGACATTTCGTGCCTCCAACACCTCCTGCGCAGACTAAAGTTTAAAATATCTGACCGGTGTCAATGAAAAGGTTAGCCTGTCTAGAGCGTAACAATAGTTACACCGGACGACATTCATGGGACTCGGAGACGCGATATAAATCGTCGCAACCCTGGGAATATCCTCGCAGATGCAGAATACACAAACCTAGCTGGATTTCAGACATCCGCAAAGTCCTTCGACAAATCGTGATTCTACCCTCGCGAAAGCATTTTAGTCTCCATGCCCAAGAAGCGTAGGGCTTTTTTTAGCAGGTTGTAGTCTCCTTTTTTAATCGGCCTGCTCTATAGTACCACAAGTGAACAGATGCACCCATGGCTAAGAAACAGCAGCAGCAGCAGCAGCAGCAGCAGCAGCAGCAGCAGCAGCAGCAGCAGCAGCAGCAGCAGCAGCAGCAGCAGCAGCAGCAGCAGCAGCAGCAGCAGCAGCAGCAGCAGCAGCAGCAGCAGCAGCAGCAGCAGCAGCAGCAGCAGCAGCAGCAGAACAGGCGGTCTCCGGTTTAGTGGCAGAACTGGTCCTACAGGAGTTAGAAAAGATTGCCTTCATCCAACATGAACCGGTGTTTTGGCGCCGTTACGTAGACGACACGTTCGTCATCGTAAAGAAGGACATGCTGCAACATTTCCACAGCCTGCTCAATTACGTCTTCCCTGACATAAAATTCACGAGGGAAGATGAGCAGGGACAGCAGTTGCCCTTCCTGGATGTGCTTGTCAGACGAAACCTAAACGGTGAACTTGAAACGACGGTTTAGAGGAAGGCAGCGAACACCACACAGCTTCTCAGTTTTCACAGCGACCATCCGGTGGCTCACAAACGAAACTGTGTGAAGACGCTCTTCAAAAGGATCCAAGCTCATTGCAGCAAATCGGAGGACAGAGCACGTGAGGCCCGTTATCTCTGCGACCAGTTTGTGGAAAATGATTTTCCGAGGGCATTCATAAGTCTTTGCTTACGCGGTCGCCACCAGAGAACTCCAAAATCAACGCCGCCGACGACATGGCATTCTTTGCCATACATCAAAGGTGTTTCAGAAGCGACCGAGCGCATTGCTGCGGAGCTAGGTGTTGGAATTGCACACCGCCCCAAAGCCAGCATGCGCAATTGGGGCATGAAAATCAAAGACCGGTTAAAGCCTGACGAGCAATCTGGGCCTTCGATGAGAACTCGGTCAATCGATTTATCGATCTGGCGCCGGCATACAGAGCCCTGCGTAGCCACCTCCAGTCTTGCGTCGTCGGTCGATGATTGGCCTGCATGCCTTATAACTATCGCCTGTTCTGCTGCTGCTGCTGCTACCTCTGACGATGGACTCCTGTGCGAGTCTGAAAGCTCAGGACAATAAACGAAGCGTTCCGGTGCTCCACTTCTCTTCTTAAATTATGGACTACTCTCTCAAACTGATATCAAATGTCCAAGATAAGCAAATTTTGTATCAAAGTTGACACTGGCTAACCTCCTGTCCGAAGACAGTGGTTAACCTTTCAAAACATTCTGGTTTCGCCGGTGAATACTCCTAGCCGCTTACTTACGATTTCTTTCATACTTTATGCGTAAACGACTAAACACAAGATGCATCCGAGTGAACGACAGTCGGGAACCTCAGTTGTTGGCAGCTTCACAACGTAGAATTTAGATAATGAGTGATCGATCCTAAAATTTTGGAATGCGTCGATTACTACAAACGCCGATTTGATCTGGGAAGTCATCATGATCATGAGTCACTGTCGAATCCTGCACATTCATAAGCGCAGACCAAGAAGAGAAGGTAGGGCTGCCTTCAAAATTTTTTTATAACTCGGTATTAATAAAATTATTCGACGCTGTCTTAAAACTTGAAAGAGGCCACAATTTCGGACCTGATTTTCCTGCGATACCCCCATTACAGCGCGTACGTTGCGATTAATCGTGAATGAGGAAGCGAGCCAAATCGTTCACAAATGGTCTCCAACAGAATTCAACCATTCCTCGGCCGAACCACACGTCTTCTAAGGGTTATACGAGTAGCCTGAGTTTGAAGGCGAACCTGTTATAAACAATGTAAATTATGTTTAAATTGCATATTGTAGAATTTCGGACTAGGATTATTCTAAAGTCCTAATATTGCGCTCTTAGCGCCACAATAATGCTCGGATTTGGCTTCGCAGAAATGTTTTTAGCAGGAAATCAGTTCTAAGGCACGGAAGTTGTTCGAATCCTCGAAACCATTGTGTGCTAATTGTTTTCGCGGTCCGGTGAAACGATTTGGAAATAGAAACTGTACAAGTCAGGAAAATGGGATTTTACCAGGTCAGCGGCTGCTTTCTGGTTATCAAGTTAGCAAACCAATGGATTAGCTTTCAAAAATCGGTAGTTAGACTCAGTCCGAAGCAAGAGTTTGTAAACTGTAAAGTTGGTGCTTATAAAACTTTCTTCAACACCAACAACTACCACATACCTTAGGGATAATTTGATGCTTTACGAAAAGGCCCTGATGAAATTGTGGAAAACTTTATCTTAGTTTAGTAGGATTAAACGAAGGACGTAAAGAGCTTGGTAGCGCAGGCATAGCCAAGCATTTTATGCATCCTGTCTCCTCGGAACTGCCTTGCCTATCCAAACAGCCATGAAGCCATTATTAATAAAAGAAAACCCAATTAAAGATCCCTAAAATTTTTTTGCATTTCGACACTGTCGGTTATGGTGGTTTTGGAGTACATTTCGTCTATAACTGCACTTTGCTTTCCCAACTCCCCCCCACGAAATTCTTGTATTTTTTGTTCAGGTTTGTTAAAAATGTTTTGTGAACATAATACCCAGACCCTATGCCTTAACAAGGCACTTTACCTGACGAGCAAAATGGATTTGCAGATCTTTTTAGGTGAAAATCTATCTCCCTCGTAAGATGACAGGGGTCGACTTTCAACCATACATCAAAAAGAAAGCATGAAGAATGAGCAAAGAGATCCGCCGAGGCAAACAAAACGGCTTCCATGATCGGGAATTTTTAACTGACAAAGACGAAGCAAACTGGGATGGCTGTTTTCGACTTATTTGCCGTCGTCAAACATTAGCGTCCCAATCAGCCCGGGTTGCAAAACTGAGATTCCAAGAGCGAGTCAGCTGGTCAATGATGAACGCTCTCCACGCTGCATTAACTCGCTCGTGTCCTTTTAGCTGAGATCGGGAGCATTTAGACACCCTAGAATAACGTGCACTGATCTACTCTGATTTCAGAATGGGAGAAGAGACATTTTTGCCTTGCCCTGGGGTCGAATTTCAACAGCTCAGGCGGGCGGTGCCGCGGTGAATTGCAGTCAGTAATGGAGATGCTTCTGCCGACAAAGAGCGGGATACAGGAATGGCCATTTCTGGTTTATTTGATTGGTTGCTAGTTGCTGTGCCACCGCCCACGTAAGCTGTGGACACTTAACGTCACGGCAAAAAGGAAACACTGATTTACTCGTCCTGATGTGGGACTGTTATGGAGCACCCCTGCGGGCTTTTCAATTTAATAGCTTCTAGGCAGTTGTTTATAGGTCTGCTAGTCGGTCCCAACCCTAACCTCAAAATTAATCCTAATGCTCATCTCAATCTTCGTGATAGTTGCTGTGTGACCGCCTGTGTGGGCTGTGGACACTTGACGTCACGGCAAAACGCAAATACTAACTTATTCGTCCTACCATCAGGATAAATCAATGCCTAATGCTCATTGCAACTTTAATTTCTTAAATGTCGACAAATGTGGGGAGTTTAAGTTGCACAGAGTTGACTTGGCACAAACCTCAGACCCAAAACAACTCTCGTGCTTTTATGGGGCTCTTCCGTAAGCTTGTCAATCTGACAGTTTTGGAGCAATTGCTTTTTCAGATTACCAGCCATCGTTTGCCCTAACCTGAAATTTAATCTCTAACTATACCCTGATCATCTGGAATTTAGCGCAAGGTCACCGACATTACAGAGGGGGTTTCCCATTTCCTTGTCCTTCTAGGGCGCGAAATTAGAATGAAGTATTTTGCAGTTGTTTAAAACCGATTCGGATGTATGGCAGATCAAGGCAGCAAGAGCAACTGATGTGCATGGCAAAGTCTGTTAAACACTGGAATTAGAGAGAGAGAGAGTTATTGAATGGGCGCGTTTGGAATTTCGTCACTGTTTAAACATCATCTTTTTATGTGCGCCAGCTGAACTCCAATCAGAGAGCACTTGTTCCCCGCGCGAAATCAAACACGCCATAAATCAACAGTATTCACCCCTCCCCTTAAACAGATGGCCAGTCAAGCCGATAACAATGTTAAAAGTTGCGATTGTGCAAATATTTAACTGAAAAAGGAGTTAAAAGAGAGGTTATTGCTTTTATGCCTGGCTACACAGTGAGATAGAAGCAAAGTGAAATCAAACAACAATTTGGAAAGAAATGGGCTTTAAAAATAAGTTTTTTATATGGATCGCGTCTCTTTGCATCAACTTTTAGTCGAGAGTAATTAGCAAATACCTCACTCATGCTATCTAGCATATTGCGAATTAAAAGCGAGGAAATGTGAGCCGATATATCAGATAGTAGATCGGTTGACTTCTAAATGACTTTACGAGCATGTGACGCAAGCGGAATCTCAGATTTCCGTCCGACATTTAAAAGCGGTTGACTGATGACGAAAAAGAAACTAGGAACGGTCATTCCGAACCCCGACCCTATCTGTCGACAGTCGATTGGCATCCATCATTCGGCAGGCTGAGGTTTAGATCTATAAGGTCAGGCGAAAATGCCCATTCTCTTCCGCAGTCGGTTTTGACCAAGGCACGCTGGTGTCAAATGACTGCGTATAGCATGAGCAGGGTACGGATATGCTGCCTTCCTGCAAAGTGTCTTCTTATAACTCAAAGCAAGTATGCAGCGCGAAAACAGTTTTTCATTGTGTTTAATTAAGAACATCACACTTATCCTCCACGAATGTTCGATATGACTTTAATTCTCGAATCACAGGTGGGCCTGTTTCATAATTCCGGGAGTTTATATTCCCGTTCGCGACCCACAGTACCAATCTTAATCAGCGTGCGGTGAGCCCGGTAGCCCAGTGATGAGAACTTTGCTCAATGACCAGCTGACCTGGGGGTTCGAGATTGGCTGTGCAGCCCTGGCTGATCACTACAGGCGATTCCAGCTTCCCCGCCCTTGTCGGTAAACAGTTCTCAAATTCTAATTTATAGTTGACATGCAGCCTGACGGGTAGATCCTAGCCCCTCGACCCCAGGACAAGATGAACCTGCCCACTGGCGTTTTCCGATCAGGGCAGATCAGGGAATTTTACGCTTTTTTTCAAATTGTTCTCGATTTTAGACGTCTCGATGGAGACCTGAGGCCCAAGTGGTATACATTTCAACCTTAACACGCAGGAGTGACCAATAAGAGGTCCAGGGTACTTTGTCCAGAACGTCTCTGTGGGAAAAGAACAGCAATTGATGCCATTCAGAATTTTATTATAGGTTAGCATTGAAAACGTCCTTTCATTCGACAAAACCTTACGTGTGTTTAATTATCACCTGCGTAAAATTTGATAACCGGCACTTTTATGGTCCGTTCGTATCTACGCCTAGACGAGAATAACATAAAAGTCAAGCTTTATCACGAAAAACCGCGTATTTTACCCTGACAAATTATTAAGTTGCGTTTTTATGAACAATATTACGAACATCGAGATAAAGCGGCGTCCGTGAATTTGCGTAAATACTGTAAGGTCACCGATTTACAAAGTTGCCAAAATAGAAACAAGGCTGATCAAAGATTCTCTCGAAAATGAGTGGTGGCCAAACCATTATCTAGTATTCTAGACTCACGGTTAACTGCTGTTAAAAGATGAACCCACGCATCTATTTCACCTTTTTAAAGCATGATTTAGAGGGCGTGGGAAATGATAGTCCTACTTAGCGATATAAACCCAGATTCTGGTCAAATTCAACCCACTTCGGATTTTAGCCCAGGAGAACACTGTTTTTTCCCATCAGAAGGCAGTGCAAGAAGACCTGTGATCCTGCGTCT